CCTCCTTCAACATATATCAATTCTTCTTCTCCTGTGAGGGCTTTCCCACCTTTCCATTACGTCAATCAAAAAGATGAGTATATTCATTACACAGAAAAGTTTCCTTGGGCTCCTTCATAACCCCTTCCTTCTGCCTTTTCCTTGCTTTCTTGAAATGTAGATTAGTTTGCATTTCCTACAATTTTACATAGAAGGAATCATATAATATATACTTTTTTATAATCTGGCTTCTATCATTCAACATAATGCCTTTAAGAGTCATTCCTGTGGTTTATCAATTGTTCATTACTTTTCTCTGCTGAGCAGTATTCCATTGTATGGCTATAATACTAGACTTTACTTTGAAGGTCGGGAATGAAGGACCAAGAGAGAGGATGAATCTGATCAATGCAAGACCTTAACAAACACCAGGAGAGAAAAGGGAGAGTGCCATATTTCCACAAAGCACAAATGCAGTTTGCACTGTAAATGAATGCGACTGGCATCTCCACGTAACTGACCAAATAAAATTGTCCTTGTTTCAAGGTCTTTCTCCAGATCTGATCAGGTCCCCGTCTCCTAGGGAACCAAGGCAGCGTAGCCGATTTTCTAACTCGGGAGGAGGGGAGGTCTCTGAGAAATGATTCACCTGCTGGCCTTTTCAATCCTTGAAAACAGTTAGAATTAAGGAAAGACATGCCCCACACTCTTTAAAGATGTAAAATGTCTTTTAATTGTCTCAGGTTGGAACAAATGAGACAAGGGATTTGAAAGAAGTTTTGAACACTGTAAAGCATAAATCAAAAGCAAGATTTTATATTTCAATCAGAAACCACCTCAAGGTTTATTTTGTGCCCAGATTAAAATTTAACATATAAAATCACTGATCCAGGAAAATCAAAACAAACAAAATAGGGAGTTAGAGAACCACCATTGAAACAGTTTGAATAAGTAATAACATTGTATCATAATCAGCGACTGTGTGTACCTCTGGAGGACACAAAATTCTTTGGGGCCAGGTTGAATCCGCAAAACCAGTTTCCTGGTTTCAGCCTCCAGCATCACTTCTTCCCATGCCTAAACGGACAATGGAGGCTTTCTTTTCAGCTATTTTGTATCAACATTCTACCCTGTCCAGAATTCTAGGGTGTCCCCACTCTGGTTGGACCCCAGGGACAATAGTCTAAAGGATTCTGAAACTTTGAGACTGAACTCTCAGTGGCCATGGCAGCTCTTCTCTCCAGTAATATCTTTATACCCTTGCTACTCAAGGTGTGGCTGCAGCCAGCAATATCAGCATCACCTGGGAATTTACTGGAAATGGAAATTTTTTATATGCCCCACCCAAGACTGGATGGAATCTGCATTTGAACCAGATCCCCAAGTGACTTGTAGTCCATTAAAGTGGGAGAAGCTCTGGTGGTCTAGACTCATGGTTCTAAAGCTTCAAGGTGCTTTAGACTCACCAGGAGGGTGTGCTGCTGCCGCTGGTCCTGGACCAGGGGCCACAGTCTGAAAACCACTGCTCTAGTGTCTATACATAGACCATAACACAGAGATTAAGTGAAGCCTTTCCTATTTAGTGAGTATGAGAGAGAATTCCTGTACCTTCCATCCTCCTCAGGGTTGGGACCATGACCTCTTTTCTTGGGTTATTTTAATGTTGGCCTCCTGTTTAAACAGAGCTCTGGACAAGAGGTTCTAGGGCCTCTGTACCAACGCCAGAGTCAACTCATGGCAGAGGCTACATCCGGGAATGTGTTTTCCCCACCTTTAAAACTAACAGAGCCTGAGAATGGAATGGCACAGATTGGAGACTCTCTTCTGCCCCCTTGGTAGAATGTTCTTTATGGAGAGATCTGCCAAGCCAGAGATCTTTTTTTTTTTAATCCCTCTTTATGAAAGCACAGTGCTCTTAAATCCACACATGCCAATGCTGCAGGTCCAACTCAGTGCTTAGAACACCCCAAGGACTAAGTGCAGCTCCTCAACCGCTAACCCAAAGTCCATGTACTATGGGACCCTGCTGCCTTTCTGGTACAAAGATATACCTAGATGCACAGAAAAGAGACCTGATAGGAAAAAAAAAAATTACTCTCAAATAGTAACACTTAACCAAAGAAAACACAAAGGCCATTCCAAGGAATAGAGATGAGTTTTGACTGGTATGAGGTTAGTCACCTCTACCTCAAGCATCCATTGGATGGGAGGAAGCAAGCTCTAGTTCACCAGGATTACATCTAACCAAATTATAAATTTACATCATGGGTAGCTAGAAATAGAAGTAATAACTGTCATTGTGGAATGCTTATTATATGCCATGGTCTGTGTTACATGTTTACAGGGATTAATTATTTCAAACCTAGCTATGAGGTAAATATCACTATTACCTTCATTTTACAGGTGTGGAAACTGACAATGAAAACCATTACTTATTTTGCCCAAGGTTACAAAGGCAGTTTGTCATCCAAACCTGAGCTCTCAACTATAGGCCACATGTGGCAGGTTACAGGACAAGCAGCTTAGTGTGATGGTGAAAGAGTCAACCACCATTATTATACACAACAGTGATTTCTTTAAAAACTTTTTTTAAGCACAGAAACTCTGAGTTTTGTTTTGTTTTGAAGAGTGAGGACAGGAGAAATCTTACCAAGAACCCAACTTTATAAAATAGATCAAAGCGTAACTCTTCTCGTTAAAGCCTGGCAGAGCCTCTGGAACCCTGCCCACTCCCACAGAGCCCCTCCTCAACCACACCTGGCTCCCACGCTGTATTCACTCATAGGAAGTTGTTCCACCCCTGTGGTCTCTGGCCTCAGCATTTCCAAGTCCCAAGCCCACTCTCTGTCCTTAATCTACATGAGTAACTGAGAAGATTCTCCTCAGTTCCCAGTCATGGAGGACAGGAACAAAACATGGATGTGTCCTGAAGGAGAATGGTTCTGAAGGAACTCAGCCTTTGAGAGATGGGTGAAATATTTCAAGTACAACAAACTATTGAGTACCTAAAATTACAATTAGTAGTTGAAGAGGGTCAGGGAGGGGTATTTAGAAATGCAATATTTAGTAATACAGAATTCAGGTATCATGCTGAGTCTGAACTCCTGTTGTCTACCTATACAAAGGTACATTCCAGCTTGTAATTATGAGTAGGTGTTATCATGTGCACTAAGCATCGATTAATGGACTAACATTAATATAATTTAAGGCTTTAATGCACTAAGTATGTTTTGGGGGCATGAGTACAGTGCTAACCTAAGTAGTTAGTTTATTCCACACTACTTCTGTGCTCCAGGGAACTGCTAAACACTTAATCACTTGAGGCTTGGATTATCAAACCATGCATACAGTCTCACATGGAGGAACCTCAGTTAGATCTGCCCAGGGACCAAAGTCATCACTTGCCACTCTCTCCAAGCCATCCAGAAGACCTTCAGCTTCCATTCTGAACTACCAAGCTGCCTGGGCCCTCAGGGCTAGTCCCGAGGAGAGAACAGTACAGCCAGACCCTTCAGGCCCAGGTGACCCTCTGGAGTGGCAGGAATTCAAAAGGTCACGTCAGTCCCTTGCATGTGATCAATTAAATCAATGACTCTTGTTGTTGTTGTTGTTATGTGCTGTCGAGTCGGACCCGGCTCATAGCGACCCCTCCTTGGGTTGCCAAGGCAGTATCACTACAGAAGTAGATTGCCCAACCTACCTTCCGAGGAGTGGCTGGTGGATTTGAACCACCAGTGACTGGCTTAACTCATTTGGCAGAGGGTGTTTTTCTCCTTTATGGACACAACTATTGAGATCTTTGCGAAAGAACAGTTTCCAGTTACTGTGGGCAAAAGGAAGTAGATTCAAGCAAAATCACCTGGGTTTTCATTCTAATCTTTGACTTTCAAAACCATGAAATAGACCTATTTTTCTCATTCTTTCTTGTTCTTTCCTTTTTTTTCTATTAGTCATTTGATGCAGGTCTAGATGTAATTTTTTAAATTATAAAACAAATGCATGTTAATTGTGGAAATTTTATAACATACAGAAAAATATAAAGCAGCAGAAATAAATGTACCCATTCCCCTGCCTCTATCCCCATCAACCAGAGGCAATTACTTTTAACATTCTGGCAGATTTTCTTCCAGTCTTTTTTCCTCTGCAGCGTTATTTTTTACATAGCTGAATTCATAATGTATATTCAATTTTATGTCTTGTTTTTCTTTTACCTAACTATAAGTATTTTCCCATGTACTAATTATTTTTCAAAAGCAACAAGTATGTAATCTTGAGTTAAGTAAATTTACCTATGCCTCAGTTTCCTCATGTGTCAAATAAAGCAATGGTTCTCCAACTTGCACTTGCATCAGAGTCACATGGAAAGCTTGTTTAAACACAGATCAGGAGTTCTGGTGGCGTGATGCCTAAGGCATTTGACTGCTTACTAGAAGGCTGGTGGTTCAACCCACCAGCCACTCCTCAGGAGGAAGATTGGGCAATCTACTTCCATAGAGATACGGCCTTGGAAACTCAAGGGGGGGGTCACCATGAGTCAGAAATGACTTGACGGCAGTGAGTTTGGTTTTTTTGGTGTGTTTTTTTTGCAGGTCCCCATCCCCAGAGTTTCTGATTCAGTAGGTCTGGAGTGAGGCCTGAGAATATGCATTTCAACCAATTTCCCTGTTGATGCTGCTACTTGGAAAACCACATTAAACCAGTGAAAAGAGGAAACTGAGTTGTGGACTTTCCAAAGTCACTGCTGATTTCAAATTTGAAGTTTCTGAATAATTTTCAGATTCTTTCAAAAAAAAAAAAAACTCTAACAAACTCTTTAAAAACATGAATTTTTTGAAACTTTGATAAGTAAATCTATAATGTCCTTAACAAAAGGAATACCATTTACTATTTATAAGTAATTGTTTCCATTTGTAACTCTTAAGTGTTCAATACTTACTCCTCTTTGAAGTTACTTGATATATAAAGTATATTTTTAAAAGACAGTCAGACTTATTTCTAATATTTTTTTTTCCTTTATACAGTTCCATATGTATTGAAGAGCTGTGCAGAATTTATAGAAACTCATGGCATTGTGGATGGAATTTATCGGCTTTCAGGCGTCACCTCAAACATACAGCGGTTAAGGTAAGCTGAAAGAATAGCGCTGAAAGAATTCACCCATGGGCCTTTAGCCCATTTTTCTGTCCTACCAACCCGCTGCCGTTGAGTCAGGTCTGACTCATGGTGACCCCTCCTTGGGTTTCCGAGGCGATATCACTACAGCAGTAGATTGCCCAACCTTCCTTCCGGGGAGTAGCTGATGGGTTTGGACCACCAGGCTTCTGGTTAGCAGTCAGATGCCTTAGGCACTAGGCCACCAGAGCTCCCCCTTGGGTTGTTGTTGTTATGTGCTGTCCAGTCGACCCCGACTCATAGCGACCCCTCCTTGGGTTGCCAAGGCAGTATCACTACCAAAGTAGATTACCCAACCTTCCTTCCTTCTGAGGAGTGGCTGGGGGGTTTGAACCATCAGCCTTCTGGTTAGCAGTCAAGTGCCTTAGGCACTATGCTACCAGAGCTCCCCTTGTAGGGAAGTATTAAAAACTTGAAGGAACTAAGAGAAGAATGGCAGAGCAGAAAATCAGATAACTAATTTTTTCAGATGCCTAACTATTCTTAGGAGCTCTCTTGGCTTAGTGCATTTGACTGCTAACCAGAAGGCTGGAAATTCAAACCCATCAGCCACTCCTCGGGAGGAAGATGGAGCAATATGCTTTGGTAGTGATACCGCCTCAGAAACCCAAGGAGGGGTTGCTATGATTCGGATTCGACTTAAGGGCAGCGAGTTTGGTTTGTTTTTTTAAAACTATTCTTAATCTAATCAGGAAGTTCTCCAGTCTGATGTAATTCTTTCTGACAAAAGTTCCCAAGGGTTTTTAATCTGTTTCTTTGTCTTGCACCAGATTTATCCTTCTTAGGTGAATTTGATCTAACTCAAATGATTAAAATTATAATTTAGGAAAATTTGATTTATTTATCATTCGTCTGCCTACCCAAAGCTCAGTTAGATTGCTGTTGTTATGTGCCATGGAGTGGGAGCCCACTCATAACAACCCCTCCTTGGATTTCTGAGCCATATCACTGTGGAAGTAGATTGCCCAACCTTCCTTCTGAGGAGTGGCTGGTAGGTTAGGTTAGGTTCCCATTATGTAGTGTTCAGAATGAGGATGTAGATGTGAGTTTTGTGGTTAATACACACTTAACAATTGGTATTTATCTGATTGAGACATCAGAAATCTGTATGATTATGCATTTTCTTAATGAAAATGCTGGTATTTTAAAAATTACTGATAGGTGAACTGTTTTCAATTCTATGGATTTATCCTAAATATTTGAAAGAAATTTGTATCACACTGAAGTAGGAGGACAATACCATCAAAAAGATAGGTGTGTGTCTGTATAAATACATATACATAAAAAAACTAAACCAAACTCACTGCAGTCCAGTGGGATCTAACTCATAGCAACCCCTCCTTGGGTGTCCAAGGTGGTATCACTAGGGAAATAGATTGCCCAGTCTTCCTTCCAAGGAGTGGCTGGTGGGTTTGAACCACCAATCTTCTGGTTAACAGTCAAATGCCTTAGGCACTACGCCACCTATACGTGTGTGTAAACTTTCTCTGGCTAAAACAATAAGTTTAAGTGTTTTGAATATTATCCCTTAACACCAAAAAGAATGTATTTTAATTAGTGCTACTTTTATATACTTACTATATTTCTTTAATTGTAAATGTGGACTTTTGAAATAATAAAAATATTCTTGTTACAAGGTTAACAAGTAAAGTTTACTAGGTAGTGCAGGTAATTCTGTTTTTGTAATTTGACTGCTAGCCAGAAGGCCGGCAGTTCCAACCCACCAGCCACTCTTTGAAAGGAAGATTGGGAAATCTACTTCCATAAAGATACTGCCTCGGAAACCCAAGGAGGGGTCGCTATGAGTCAAATCTACTCTCCAGCAGTGTGTTTTTTGGTCTCCAGTATCTTAATTGTAGTTAAATTATACCAAAGGATTAAAATATCCTTTTTACTGCTAGAGAAGTGGTGGTTGTGAAATAAGAAAAGATTGATTTCTTGCTGTCAAAGACTTTAATGAATCTATGTGTTTAAGTAATTTCCACTAATTTACTAGTGTGACATTTTTTGGAGTTTCAATAGCAAATACTTTTGAATGATTTACTACATCTCTAAAATATATGATACAGTAATTGGTATCATGGAAGACTACTTGGATAATGGGTACTTCCAGTAGTCCTTTTTTAAGAACTGATCTGAGCTTTTGACAAGATAAAATTTTGTCCAAGTCAGCTCTAGATCGTTCTTATTATGACCTCTTTAAAAAAAAAAAAAAAAAGTGCCTATGAATTTACCAGGAGCTCTGGTGGTGTAGTGCCTAAGGCACTTGACTGCTAACCAGAAGACTAGCTGTTCAAACCCACCAGCCACTCCTCAGAAGGAAGATTGGGTAATCTACTTCCGTAGAGATACCGCCTTAGAAACCCAAGGAGGGATGGCTATGAGTCGGGACCCACTCTAGGGCAATGAGTTTGCTTTTTTTGGTTTTGAGACTCCCATTGACTTTGTAACAACTTGGCTAACCAAGTAAATACTCTTCAAAAGTCTAACTTCTCTTCTATAATAAAGCCCAAGCATGTCATTTCTTAAAGATTCTTAACTTGTATTGGAGTGCTGGGGTGGTACAAATCAGAGGCATGTCAAAAGAAAAACTTGATCTAATTTGGAAAAATCAGCCATTGAAAATCCTATGGAGCACAGTTCGACTTTGACACACATGGGGTCACCATAGGTCAGAATTTACACCATAGCAACTGGTTAAGGATACATTGTTTGAGGGTGTGTATTCATGTAACCTTGTGAGGAAATGTTTTCTAACCAAGTAGGTCACACCAGGCCAGCAACCTGATGATTCCCAGATCAGCCACTATAGATTGTTTAGGAAGATATTTATAAGCTTATTTGTTCTATGAGAGTGACTATCAGGCAGCCTAGAAGATTCCATTCAACATCAAAGAAATATTTGATTAAAGTTCTCAAACCTTAGGTTGGAGTCTCCACATAAAATGTGAATATATGGAGATGAACGGTAATAGTCTGACCCACCCTGGGTTAGGTCTCTCCTCTAAGAAAGGGAAGTTCATTTACAATGATATTTTGGAAAAACTGAAATCTCAATAGGCTGTTTTGGCGAACAATTCTTCTGTTTCCCCACAGGTCATAACTGAGACATTATGCTGTTGGAGATTCATTTGTAAAGGAGCATTATGTCTTCTATGGACTGTAGCATTTTCAGGGAATGTCCACACCTAAAGTGAAAGTCTTTCCATAGCTTCCTTGGGCCTGGAGTAGAAGGTCATTTTGAATCAAGGTCAAAATATAGTCAGATCAGCAGTTTAGGGTCTTTTTACCCCTAAGCAGACAAGCAGCTGTGGACATGGAACACATGTTCCCTGGGATTGTTATGTCTCTGTCTGTGTTGTTTCAGGCAGGAGTTTGGCTCAGATCAATGTCCAGATCTGACAAGGGAAGTATACCTCCAGGACATCCACTGTGTGGGCTCACTCTGCAAGCTCTACTTTAGGGAGCTTCCCAACCCCCTCCTGACTTATGAGCTCTACGAGAAATTCACGGTGAGTGTTTGGATTTCCATTATGATTACTGGGTGGGACACGTGGACGGGCCAAGGAAAGTTTCAGCACTAAAATAACAATAATAATATTCACCAGATGGTTGACATTATCTTAGCATGGTGATGGGAGTAGGATGGTATAGTGGGAAAGTCAGGTAGTAGGATTGCTTACTACATTTTTTCTTTCTTGAACTTTCAGAATCACCTGTGTTTGTTTTAGGAGCTGGGTTAAATTATCTGTGTTTATTTAGCCTAAGGTGCCTCATTGTATAGAGAGGAAAAGGAGACTGAGAGATATGAAGTGACTGCCCCAAGGTCATACAACAGAGGCAGGATGGGAACTGGAGACTCCAGCCACATGCTCTATCCACTGCAAATTCATTTTTTATCAGGCTGCTCCATCTGGGGGTGGGGGTGGGGGTGGGGAAAGGTGTGAGTGGGTAGAGAAGGGAGAGAAAATTATCAAAAGTGAAGAGCGAGGTCAGACAGTTAGGAAGGAAAAAGATATGTGGAAAAAGCAGCCTTGAGGGAGTGGTCAGTTGGGTAGGTGGGGTGGATGGTTGGGTAAGAGCAAAACACCCACCTAAACAGCAACTGTGTGGTTACCAAATAAGACACTCATAGGAAAAGTAAGGGGGAGAATAGTTTTCATTTTAAAATACTACGTTAAACAATGAAAAGGATGCTGTAGAGATGGCATTAAAAATAGGGTTTGAACATTTGACTGCATGGGTAGAGGTGTAAAGTAGGCAGAGAGGTGGGTTTAATTAAGAGGGGTGAGGGAGATGAGAGTGTATGCCATGAATGATTGAAATAATTGACCATGGACTTAGTCCGGATAAGGAAGGAAATGAGGGCATAAGGCAGGTGTGTGAAAAAGTAGATCAGCAGATTATTCATCCCAGTAGGATCAATTGAGTGTTGAAGTAGGGTGGTCAGAGGGGGATTTGAAATCGAGATTATGGAGGGATTGTAACTATTGGTAAGAACCAGCTTGAGACTCTAACAATGGGAGACAGTCTTTCCCATAACTCCTCTAGTGAACTTATTTTGAGCATAAAAGATTCTTCAGTTTGGAATGATGTAGGAAGAGAGGAGCACCACTTTAAAAAAAAAAAAAAAAAAAAGAATTAGGCTTGGGCTATTAACAGTATACTTAACAGTTTTCAATAATACAAGGAAACACTAATAACAGTAATTGGAAAAAACATCGCAATTGTATATTAAAAAGGGGTGAAGAGGAAGGATATTCAAAAGACTAATACTCATTGACTACAATGATGAGATTATAGATTTTTTTCCCTGTCCCTTTATACTTTAACTTTGGATATTTTCTCCACTAGGAATGTATTAATTCTTTCAATGAGAAAAAAAAAAAAAATTAGACCAAAGTACACAAGAAATGTAGGCATAAGTGTTGGCATAAATGTTGACCACAGGAGCAGCCAATGTAGACCAGCTGATGTGAAGCTGTTGGTGGTGTGGGCACCCCTGCCTTTGAGATCTAAGACAGAAGATGAAGGAGCCTCCTTCCTGAATGGCTAAGTCATAAATAACAGCAGGCACTAGACTTGAAACTATAGACAAGTCTTTGACAGGAACTATGAGGCAAGACTGTGGGCCTTATGTTGGTCTGCCAGATTATAAATACTGTCCCCATATATGAGTATTCCTCATTTTAAAATATTCATAAAAGACAATTCAGAAAGAGACCTTTGATCTCTCCCCTTAAAGACTAAAGACAATTACCATTAGCATTTTCTTTAGTCTTTTATTCTATGCATCCCACCACTACCCACTACCGTCGAATTGGATCCAACTCACAGCGAACCCTCCTTGGGTTTCTGAGGCAGTATCACTACGGAAGTAGATTGCCCAACCTTCCATCCAAAGAGTGGCTGTGGGGTTTGAACCGCTAGCCTTCTGGTTAGCAGTCAAATGCGTCACCACACCACCAGAGCTCCCGTTCTAGAAGCATACATGGATTCTATGCACAGTGTTTATGTTTTCCCTGGTCAAAATAAAATTTTATTATAAATATTAAAGCAATACAGAAATTCACATTGCCTGAAATCTCACACCTCAGGCATAGCCGCTGTTAACGTGTGGGAAACATCATAGAGTTACTGTGTGTATATCTGTATCTGTATCTCTTTATCTCTCTCAATCCCTCTGCTTACTTTTACTCTTTGATACTATGCATTGCTGTTTTGACATGTTTTTAAAAATTTGACAATGTGACCACCTTTCCATTTAAGTATACCCTATTTTTACAGAGTATTCTCTCATATGTACCATGATTTCTGAAACCATTCTCTTACTGACTGACATTTAGATTTTTTGTTTCCCACTACTTTGCTTTCATAAACAACATTATAATAAACATTTTTTGTACATATATCTTCACACAACTGTCTGATTATCTCCTGAGGGAAAAGTCATAGAAATGGCTTTGCTTATTAAAATTTTATTTTAAAATGTTTGCATATATCAAACTCTCCTGCATAAAGTTAAGATTACTCTTTTCCCTATAGCCTTGTCCACAATGGATATTTTTAATTTTCTAAATGTTTGCCAATCTGAATTAGTTAAAAATAATGTCTTATTGTTGTTTTAATTTATGTGTAGGACTTTATTATTTGTTTTCTGCAGACTCGTCATCCTCTCACCTATACAATTTTTGTTTCCTAAATAGGATCATCTTTCAATATGGTAGAGTAGAATATTATTATGTGAATGAACTGAATGAGTCTAATTCCTTTTTTTTATATACATTCTATTGAAATATAATTTATGTACAGTTTAATACACAAAACTAAAGTAACATGGGTCAATGCTTTTTTTTTTTTTTTCCTTTTGCAGTGTTCCCTCCCCTACCCTCTCATCCCTGATAACCAACAAAGAAAGTTCCCTTCCATATATAAACCTTTCCTTGACTTCTTACAAAAATGACCTAATACTATATTTGTCCTTCTGTGATTGCCTTATTTCACTCAGCATAATGTCCTCCAAGTTCTATGTTATGCGGTGTTTTGCAGATTCTGCTTTATTCTTTAGGGCTGCATAGTATTCCATTGTGTGTATGTACCACAGTTTGATCATCCATTCTTCTGTTGATGTGCATGTAAGTTGTTTCCATCTTTTTGCTATTGTAAATAGTGCTGCAATGAACATGGGTGTGCATGTATCTCTTCTTGTCCTGGCTCTCACTTCTTTAGGATATATACCTAATAGTGAATGGGATTGCTGGGTGAAATGGTATTTCTAATTCCAGCTTTTTAAGGAATCGTCGTACTGTTGTCCACAGTGGTTGTATCATTTGACAGTCCCACCGGCAGTGGATGAGAGTCCCAATCTCTCCATATCCTCACCAGTATCCACCATTTTCTGTCTTGTTGAACTTTGCCATTAGAGCTGGGGTGAGATGGTATCTCAATGTTGTTTTGATTTGCATCTCTCTGATGGCTAATGATCATGAGCATTTCTTCATGTATTTGCTGGCCACCTGAATATCCTCTTTGGTGAAGTGTCCATTCATGTCATCTGCCCATTGTTCAATTGGATTGTTAATCCTTTTGTTGTTGCAGTGTTGGAGTTCTATAAATTTTAGAGATATGTCCCTTGTCAGTTATGTAATTATCGACCAGTATAAATTTGTTGCTGTCATTTTTTTATGTACTTTTTTGTGGTGTTGATTTCTTTGTGTCATATAATTTTCTGTGCTATGCTCATTTTACAAGTCATGTTATCACTTCCTTCATTGCTATTATTTTAGTATTTGCTGAATATCTGTGCTGGTCCTCCTTTTTATTTCGATGTGAAGGCTTATCATTTCCCTTTGAGGTTACCCTGTAATTTATAATTTCTTCCCAAGTTTAGAACAGTCTGTTCTATCTTGTAGTTGTCTTGACTTCCCTACCATTTAGAAGTTCTGTAACTTCACTGTTTTTTCCCTCTTTTTGGTTTGTAGTTGTCCTTATTTGTCAGTTGATGTCTCTGGTTCCCTGTTTACAATCTTGTAGGCTTATTTACTTTGGATACTTCTATAACTGAGTTATAGGCACTTGACTGCTGACCAGAAGACTGGCAGTTCAAACCCACCAGCCACTCCTCGGAAGGAAGGTTGGGCAATCTACTTCCTTAGTGATACTGCCTCGGAAACCCAAGGAGGGGTCACTATGAGTTGGGTCCGACTTGACGGCACATAACAACAACATAACTAGGTTGGTTTCTGGATTATGTCACCATGTGTGTTAATGGTTGGTTGTTGTTTGCTCTTGATTCTCTGTCCAAAGGACTCCCTTTAGCATCTCTTGTAAGATTGGTCTGGTTTTAACAAATTCCCTTTATTTCTGCTTATCTGGAAATCTCCTAATTTCATCATCATATTTGAGAGACAGTTTTGCTGGGTACATAATTCTTGGTTGGAAATTATTCTTTTCCAGGGTTTTATATACACCATCCCATTGTCTTCTCACCTGCATGGTTTCTGCTGAAAAATCCAAGCTTAGTCTTATTGGCTGCCCCTTATAGGTAACTTTTCGTTTTTCCCATGCTGCTCTCATGATTCTTTCTTTGTCTTTGGTCTTGGTGAGTTTGATGATGATATGTCTGGATGATTTTCTTTTAGGGTCTATCCTGTTTGGGGTTCATTGGACTTCCTGAATGGATATATTCTCATCTTTCATCATACCGAGAAAATTCTCTTCCAACAAATCCTTGACAATTTTCTTTGTGGTTTTATTTTTCTCTTCCTGTTCTGGAATTCTGCTAACATGTAGGTTATTCCTTTTCATGGTATCCCACATGAACCTTAGGCTTTCTTCATTTTGTTTTGATCTTTTTTCTGATTGATCTCTTTCTGAAGAAGTATTCAGGTATTTGCCTTCAATCTCACTAATTCTGTCTTCCATTGATTCAATTCTGCTCCTTTGCCCATTCAATGTCTTATCTATTTCTGAGAATTTGGTATTAATCTTCTGGATTTCTGTGTGTAGATTT